TTTTCCTAAAAAGGTTGAGTTTTAACCCAACACACAATTGAGAATCTACATTCTCTGTAGGAATTCCCATCCCCGTGAATATTTTCACTTGACAGCTCAAAATTCTGTAACTGATACAAATATAAAGAATCTATCTACAATATATAATACTGGAATGGAGTACTTTGAGCGCTTATCATGGAAGTAAAAACCATTAGATGCATGAATGTGAGATACAATAGCAAGACAAGGTATAGATTAGAGGAAGTATGGGCAAATATCTAGAAGCTTGTTGAAGTAATGGGACACCAATCAAACCATTAAAAAATAAATTAACCAAGTTCCTAAAATTCCGGGACTAGCTCTTAAAATTTTAATCCTTTGAGATTTGAATCCTTCAAGCAAGAAAGCAACCTTAATTAAGATTATTTTTCATCTCATACTTTATGCGTAGAGAATACAATTATTTCATTTTAATCATTTTTAGATTTTACCTATGTTTTGAATACCATCAAATAGATTGATGGATGGTAATATAAAGACAAATTTTTTGTACAAATTTTTTGTATAATGTTTATGTGTCATTAAATAAATAGATATATTTAATATTACAAATCACAAATAAATAAAAAGAATAAATAATTTAAATAACAAGTAATATTGTACAAAAAAATTATTTCTAAATCATTTTCCTAAATTGATTTAGTTTGACATAAACAAATAATCTAACCATAAAATTTTTTTTAAAAAAATTCCCCAAGTTTCAACGAGTAGGTTTTTTTTTTTTTTTTTAAAACTATTAGCTAATAGAAACTTCGTCTTTTGATACTTATATTAAAAATTTTAAATTAAAGAGATAAATAAAAATCAAAATGTTAATGTCGCAACATCTCATCTATATTGATATGATAAATGAGACAAAGTAAAATTTACACTATATATCTATTATCTTATAGTATTGTGATTGAATAACTTGCTGTTTTTGAGTTGTAGTGGATGTTTATCCGACTACGCTAGCGTTGTGCATCATTTTGTTGCAGGTAGGATTATATATTGCTTTGTTTATGGGTTAAGAGACTAGTATCACTATCAGACAAGTGTAAGCAGATGGAGATTTGGACAGATGAAGAAGATTGATCTTTCTTTAATAATTTTTTAAAAAATGATTAAGAAATAATTTTTATATTTTTTTATAATTTTATATGTCATGTAAATAATTAATCTTTTTATTTATTTAAAACTTTTGATTTTAAATAAATTCACTAATTTAATAATATATAGAAGTATATAAAAAAATCATACAAAAGGTTATATTTATGTCATTCTCTCTTTTCTAATTAGGAGAAGTAAATGGTATTTAGTTTGCCTCTCGATTCAACTCTGATTTTCTTTTGTTCCATTAACCATAAATTAGCATTTCTTCACTGTGAGCTTATATGTCTGTCCAATTGGGAAGATCGAATCTTATTAAGTACTGTTTTTAACAAAAGTACAAGCTATACATCTATACAATTGGGAAGATCGAATCTTATAAACTATTATTATAATTTAGTGGACGAGCGGAATATGAAAAAAAAAAAAAAAAAATCAAAGATTAGGTGCTTATCACTTTCCAACACATACACATTACTATTAGTATACCAGAATGATAATTTACCCCAAGAAATACCAAAACCACAAGTAGACCATAGTAATTTATTCTTCTTATGGTCCATGCGGTTGGGAAATAGATATTTTTCAAAACGGTAAAAAAGTGTTATTTTTGGGTTTAATTTAATAAATCATCTATTATTTTTCATATTTCTTTTTAGTCCCATTTATTATCTTTAGATTCTTCCAATCATGTTTATTATCTTTCATATTCATTTCAATTTCATTTAATCCATTATCTTTAAAGGAAATCTTTCTTTTTTATAAGAAAATAGTTAATTCTCTAACTATATTTGTTTTAATCTTTTAGTCCTTGAATTTATATTTTCTATAAAACAGCTTTTACTCTTATTTTGCTAAATTTTTTAATTCTTCTAGAGCTAACGCTCTACAAATTTTATAGACATATCTATCCCTTGGTAACTCATGAATTTTATAAGGTATCATTCCTTCTTTTGCTATAATTTTTTTTATAATATCAATCTGTTGATTATAAAATTTTACTAATTTTCTTAATTTCATTTTAAAAACATTGTTCTTTGGCTCTAATACCAAATTTCTTAAGGGTTTTCAGAACCTAAGTCATACTACCACCAACTAATGAGTAGTTGGTATGTTA